CGGGAGCGAAAAAAAATATACATAAAATTATTATTTTTTTGTAACGTCACTCTACTAACTACTACTAAAACTAACTTTTATTTATTACTAGATTTTGCCTGCGACTTTGTTCGCGTGGAATAGTGACTTCCTGCAGATTTTTGGTTTAAAAACTATACTATCTCCTTTCTCGAGTTCCAAATATCACAGAAATCGGTTCAGTAGGTTAGACGTGAAGAAAAGAGAGACAGACAGACAGAGTTACTTTTGCATTTATAATATTAGTTTGGATTTGGATTTTATTACATTTCAACTGTTATCAGAACAACCTTCTTCTTACGATTTTGACTGAAAAAAAAAAAACTATTTTATTATTTATCAATGATAAAATATAAAAAAAACGATTTCGAATGGAAATGAAAATGTAAAAAAAATAATTTCGAAACGCATAGATTTGTTTTGTCTTTATATTCCAATTACTTGTTTCACATTGTCTAACATATAAAGTACCTAACCCCATATTTCCTATGTGTGACATATCTGTAATCTATAATAATGTAATTAGCTTATCTTAATTGCAATTAAGATGTCTGCAGGCGTGTGGTAATGCCAAATCCGGTGCTTATGTCATAATTTAATTTAATCAATGGCTTCAATTTGTGCACCATTTGTTCACACATTACATTAATTTAATTTACATTCTGCACTGTTATTTGGTTTGCAGGTGACTATAAAGAATGCTTCATGAAAGAGATTGAAGAAGTTGTTAAACTGAATTGCAATGAATATAATAACAATTGAAACAATGAATTTGTGTTTTTTGTGTTAATCGTTTATAATATAAAAATAATTCGCTAAATATGTTAGTAAGCGCATAGCTCAAGAATGCCCGGGTTTTTCTGTCGTGTTTGTAATTGTCAAAAGAAGGTGATGAAAGTTTTTTTTTTCAAAGTGGAGGGGAGAATAGTACTTATATCTTGAATAGTTTAAGCAGGAGCGGGCCGCTAATAGCCCATAAAACAGCACTACGGTTTGAGCTCAAAAAATGCTGTGCGTCACACAACTATCCTTTCTTTAAACTTTATACTAATAATTAGCTTCTGTCCGCGTGGTATGTTAGTAAAAAGTAGTGTATGTCCTATTCCAGAGTGCATCCTATGCTTGTCAAAAATTTCATCCAGATCCGTCTAGCGGTTTTGGCGTGATTGTGTACCAAACAGCCAAACATCGTAACTTTTGCATTTATAATATTAAGCAAGATAGTATAGTATATAGATTTTAATAGTTGTTCAGTTACGCTTTTTTAGCCAAAATTTGTGGTAAATGGATACATACATTTTTATCTCTCTTATCGGGACAAGTGCATTGTTAATGTGTTTTCATGGCGTTTGAGATATTAAAGCAATATTCTGTAAAGTGAACTGGAGTGCGTCGCCTACCGGCCACCTGTGGCGAATTCATAATTTATTAAGCGGTTTCTGGTTGTGTTATACAAAATATGGCTACAAAATGTATTCTTATTTAGTGCACTTTTCATGGTTTCATGTCTTTGTGGTAGGTAGTAAAAAGATTATTTAGTTTTTCTGGGTATGGTTATCAAAAAAGTTATTTAGTTCTATCAATGTTTTATAAATGTGAAGTATGTTAAAAATTGAATGGATTAAACCTAATAATTTTAATAAAACTTTTTTATTTTTAAATAACGCTTGTCACCTTACAACTTCTGAGAACAGAATGGAACGTATTAAATTTGAAATCTTATTATAAATAGATGTCACATACATCTATTTTGTGTTGAAGTTTAATGTTAACAGAAAAGAGTGTCCAAATATAAAAAAAAATGAATACCAAATTCTTACGCTTCCTTCTAATTCATGTACGATTTAAATTTCATTTCTAGATGTTCTTAACTCCGCGCTCTTAATATTAGCAGATGATTTACTTCAGAAATTAATTTCACAAATTGTTCGCTTACGTAAAATGTTCTCAAAGTAAATATGATAATTACTTCTAAAAACTTAAAGCGGAACGATTAGTATCCCGCTGTCGCTCGCAATGTAACCCACAATATTATACGTCTCTTTCCAACGATTAATCTACTTGAAAGTTTAACAAAGTATTTTGTACAAGTGCGTGCATAATTGTTCGCACAAATTCACCAATTGTTTTGACAGAAAGAGACGGCACGCATTGAATGCGTTGCGTTTTAAAAACTTTTTGACGTTAAATTTGTAAATAAATCATAACTTTTGAACCAGATTTTGTTTACGTTGTAAGGTTATGAAAACTCCTAACTTGTGAAGTTTAGAGACTGGCTAAAATGTTAATATTTCATAAATATTAAATTCTGACGTCACGCAACAGTTGGTTCCGTGGCTTAGGGATGGCAATTCTCATTGTGAGGTGGAATACGAAATAATTAATTGTTGTTCCTGTAGCTTATTTACTTAGACGGTCTGGTCACAAGTTCACAACAGGGCATTGTCTATTTTTAACAATTTTTCAATCCAACAATTTGCTTAAAGATAAAGCTCCATTTTTTTTATATGAGTGATAAGAAAATTTAGTTGTCCGATTAACTGACGGTAAGCAATAGCCGCTCATGTACACTCACAACACCAGAGGAGAATACCAGCTCGTTGCTAGATAAGGATTAGGGTTTCGGAGATTTAGGAGTCGGAGAAGCGAATGAAGGATTTGGTGTCCAGTAACTGAGGTTACACACGGGGAAACACAACGCTATGGTAAATTCACGCAATAGTATCACTTCGGTCGAGCCGACTCATTTGTGAAGAAGCATGGCTCTGACACACTTAAAAAAATATGTTCTTGAGGATAATAAATATAAATCAATTAATGTAAACACAAACACTTTTGCAGGTGAGTGTACTTAGTAAGTGGAGCGTGCAGACAATCAGGTTGTGTCCGTCTGCGTATAATGAAACAATTTACTTTAGACCACTCCGCACCATATCAGTAGTGTTATGACAAGACTATTCTTAGAAAAAAAATGTGTTAGTAAGTCGTAAATTTCAATTTTCTTCTCATTTATTGGATACACATTGTCAATACATCTTAAGAAAAGTCAATTAAACTTCTATCCGTGCTAGTGAACGTCTTCTCTTTATTATTTTTCTAAGTAAACATTATTATTTTATCATAATTGTTTAGGTATAAAACACCCTGATTTAAGAAACTTTACTTGTCACTACTGGTTGTCTGTGCAGGTGGGTCGGTCAATGTGAAAAACTGCGTTTCATAGTTTCTCGTGGTTTGAAATCACCGCTAGACATTATTATGTACCACACCAATTACTATATTCTATTCAATTGACATCTTACTAATATTAGAAATGCGAAAGTTACGATAATTGGATGTTTGTTACTTAATCACGCCAAAACGGCTGGACGGGTCTGGCTAAAATTTGGAATTCAATCTGGAATAGTACATACATAGGCTAATTTTATCAACACACCACGTGGGCGAAGTCGCGGGCGGAAGCTAGTTTCCCACATTTAGAAGTATCCTTCGGTGAACTGATAGGTATTCTATTTACGAGTATATCAAGTTAAATTCAATCTGTTTCCCAAAAGCTTTATCCTGAATACTCCTATAGATACTAAACAATTCACCACTAAGGTTTTGTGGAAAACTGAATTGAGGATTGGAGTGGAAAAGTTCCGCTTTTCAGTCTTTCAAGTGTAAATGAGTTTCAGTTTGGCACCCTTTAATCTAGTTTTTCATCCTGTTTAGGTCTCACAATGGGATGACCTCGTTTGGTCTTATTTACTCGTACATATTCATTTAAAATGAACGGACAATAAAAAAATGTGCCGCTATGATTGAAGGTTCTTGAAACTTTTTTTTGTATTTAATTGTATCTGTTATACACTATACATAATGTATATTTTATATATATAAATCATATCAATCATAGCATACTTACGAATATAGAGATAAAGACAGTGACTTTGTTTTACTATGTATGGTCGATAGGTACAGGGGATGAACTAAACAATCTTGGCATGTATTTTTATCTAAAAAATATATGTAAAATGTTTACAACTATCACAGTTTAAATAATCGTCATATGTGTTTTATACGACGTGTTTAATATAAAAAGACAAACGGATATTGTTTACCTTTATTTAACAACCTTAGCCAAAAGACCATAGTGACGTAACCATGCCCATTTTTCTTACGATTAATATGTTCAAGATTCTTTACAGTTTTACTCAACCACTCTTTTCAAGAACTCTTCATAAAAATCCAAATACTTTCTTTTTCAATCCTTAAATAGATGGTACTTGTTGCTAATGGAACTTCAGTCGCATTCCTTAGACTTAAAAAGTAGGTTTTAAGAGTCGTCTGGGTCGCCATTCACCTCACACTTGCGAGGAGTGTAGATGCTGCCAGACAAAGGAAGCAATAAGCCTGAGGGTGCTCCATACAACCGCTGACCTGAAGATGTTTGAACAGCATTGAAGATGTAAAAGTCTTTTCAAAGTGACTGCTCCAGTTTTACGGTGGACACGTTCTAGATTGTTCATATTTAAAGATTGTTTTTGAAAATAAAATCATTAAATATTTGTATGAATGTCTAATGGCTCAAATATTTTAGTGTGTGTTTTGTTTTTATTTGTTTTCCACATAAAGTAGTCTGTTACAATTTTTGTCAAGAATCAGACGTAATAAAATAATATTTTTCAATGATACTTAATTTCTAACAATTTTAAGGTTTTTGTGGTCGGAAAGATAGAAATTAACTCGAGTGTAATAACCGTCACATAAAAAATAAATTGTAAATCCTCACGAACAGAACGAACTGCCGCACTCTAGAGATATTTTTTACTTATTACATTCTTTAGTAACCATTTTATTTCGAATACTATAATTTAGAACTGCGTTAAGTATTCAATGAATGATTTTAGGTGCGAAGATATGCATTGAAGCTAAACTCAACTCTGTGTTTTAGGTTATACAGTATATTTTAATTTAAAACCCTCGTTTCATTGTTACAGAGGTGACAGTAACGTACCACCGCGGTTTGCCAGTACTCACCATACCCCTGCCGTCGCGACGCGAGCGATGCCGCTTCACACTCCGTCCCGTCTCGCAAACCGTCGGCGATCTCTTAGAACAGGTGAGAAAACTATGTTTAATTGAAATTTATGACTTTTAAGCAACGTCATAGAGTTCAGTTTTGTACAGCTGTTGTTGATGTTTTCGTGACTTAAAAGTAGAACTGCAATCTTCTATGTTATTTTAAATTACCATTGGATTAGCTTAATTTTTTCTAAAGTTCCTTTGACGTTGGCTCGTTGGAAGACTTTCATTAATCTTTCTATGTGTGATGACGTGCATGCTTGCTGCTTTGGGTGTGTGGTGTATGGGACTATGGCTTATCCTCGTCCAAGGGCTACGAGACCTAGAGCCTCATTATAGCCACCGTCCGAAGATACAAGCATAATAACGTAACGTGGCCCTGTGGTTCAGAGTAGGTGAAGGAACCAGGTTGTTGTTAATCAGTAAGACTGAAACTGCTTCTCGCCCGATCCATGTCGGGAAAAGTCATTTGATCATTTGGAGAACCCTACTTTTCAACTCGCGCATTCAGTGTAGACGAATACTTATATTTATGCAGAGAGCAATTTAAATGATGATTTTAGGAATAACAAAATAGGTTGGGAATCAACAAGTAATGTAAGTCATGGATGTTTCTGAGTTGTTGAGGATTAGGATCCTCTCTCTCTTAACTTAGAAATATCCATGACTTGAAGACAAAATGAACAAAATTATTTGTTTAAATCAATTTCTAAAATGTACTGCTCATTCCATTGTTAGTCATTTATTCTCAACCATCAACATGTGGATAGCCACAATGGCCAGTCCACCTTTACAGCTATGATTAATTTATGACGGAAATATCGCAAAATGATTGCTTTAGTTAGTTGGCTGGGTTCCAACCAAAATGCAGCTCTCATTCATCGCATTATTTCTGATATGATTGGACTACTAACATTAACTCTCCAACTTACTGTGTGTACATAAATTGTTAAATAAATAAATACTGAGTGCCAAGTCACATCATATCATCAGCCTATAAGTGCGCTCTGCTGAGCAAAGGCCTCTTTTCACACTAAAAAGGTTTGAGTATTAATCGCCACGCTTGCTCAAGGCGGATTGGCGATTTCAAACTTATAGTTAGACATTCTAAGTCCAAGTTTCCTCACGACGTTTCCTTTCACCGTATGCCAGTGGTGTCTAAATAATCATAGAAAGTACATATAGCTCGGAAAAAGACACATTGGTACTTGCTAGGTTTCGAACCCTCATGCATGTGAAATGCTCCGGGCCACAGTTTGATTTACGTATAGGCGATCAACTCTTATGACGTTCTGCCCTTTGATTGGCCTGTTCCAACCAATCGGAGAGATGAACGCCATAGCATTTCAATTGCGTAAACATCCAAGAGCTTCTCATGCATGGGATTCAGGCTTGAAGCCTGGTTAGTACTTTTTGACAAGTTATATGTATTTTCTGAGATTATTCAGACGGTAAACGAGCAGACAATTCACCTGATGGTAAGCAAACGGCGCCGCCGATGGACACCTACAACACCGGAGGATTTGCAAGTGCAAATTGGGGATGAGGGTAGAATAAGAAAGAAAGAAGAAGAAAGAAAAAGTATTTATCGCATCTAGGACGCACATAAGACACAAAATAAAACAAGTATATAAACATGAAACAAAAAAATATCATGGTTATACAATATAAAAAAGAGTATAATATATGGAAAAATATGCGTTACAAGCACAAGAAATGGCCCTCGCTCAGGATATGCAGCGACACTATGCGATAATTTACTCAACAAAACACAAATCAAGCGTTGTTTCACGCCGGTTACCCGTGAGGCCGTTGTATCACTCCGGTTGAGCCGGCTTATCCGTGCATGTCTCTCCCACACTCGAATATGTTCTAGGTATACAAGATTCCTACAAATACCTACCGCCTGACATGGGCCCTTAGCAGTCGCTCTCGACGTAATTGCCCCACTACGCCTAGTCAAGTGGCACTATATGCTTATTTACTAGCACATATCGCTTAGTGAGATATATAAACTAGTAGTGCTTGCCTACTGATATGTGTATACCATATTATAGCATTACACATATACATGGCATTATATACACATAACATACATAGCATTTTACTTCACGAGGTGTGCTAAGCTATCGATTAATAAATTTTCAAATGTATTGTAGGACTAATATGGATGATCTAGGTTTGTTACTAGTTTTGTTTCTAATAGGTTTTGAACCCTTTAAAGAAATTTTGGCTGATCGGGGCAATTTTTAGTATCTGTAACATTCATTTCACATATCAGGCCTACAAGCAACCTATGCTGAGCAAAGACCTCTTCTCACACGTAAAAGGTTGGGCATTACATTCCTTACTTGAGCAAGGCTCAAGGTAGATTGGTGATTTCAAACTTATAATCAGAAATTTAAAGAATCTTAGAGAGTACCTACCCATAAATTGGAAAAAGTACATAAATTGCCAGGTTTCGAATCCTGATGCATTGAAAGCAAACCTTAACTTCCATATGACCACGATTTTGTAACATTTATTACATAAATAATTTTATTTTATTGTAAAGAAGTTTGTTCATCTCAATGTTTATTAACGATGGGTTGGAGTTTTTTATCTTACGTTGCATTACCTTTGTGCTGCTAGGGTGCTAAAAATCCGATAACCTAATAATGAAATTTACCCCAGCCCTAAAACAACCCCTTGTTTTTCGATTTATAACCTATTTTTAATAACCAGGTGAAGGCTGAGGATCGTGGCGTGGAGCGCGCGGCTGCGTTGGCTGCGGACGAGCGCGTGCGCATCGCTGCGAGCGACACCATCGAAGCACTACTGGAGAGCGACTTCCGACTCATCATCAACGACACAGAGTACTACGTCAAGACACCGGCACAGGTCAGTTTGTCTTTAAAAGCTACTAGCGATCAGTCCCGGTTTCGCACCGGGTACAAAATAAATAAGTTTCTCCACTATTTAAAATGTTATTATACATATTAATATAACTCTTCAATCACTCTATTTACTTAAAAAACCTAATTAATTTTAAAGATTTAAGCGTATATATGGACAGAGAAAGTGGCATTGTTTTTAAATATGTAGTGATTTTAAAAACATATAATAACTTTGTACAACAAAGGACTTCTTTTCAAAACTATAGAAATCATAGGTATGATTTCCATCGAATAATTCCACTTATTAACTCCTGAGCTTATCAAGCCTTCTCTCTCTTGATTGGCCAAAAATCAATAACAGTACCTCTATAAATTCCAACAAAGTTAACCTAAACCCAACACTATAGAGTAGTTTAATTACGTATTCGGTTAAGTACACATTGATGTTTATCAAGCGATCTAATTGGCGCTTGGCATCGAGCCAGCTCCTCACATGTGGACGGTCCTTAACAGGAAGCCTGTTATTCAATACCAGTTCGATTAGCCGCCATAGTCCTGACTCAGTCGCGTGTGCTTAGATTATGGAATATACCGCACAGACTTGGTGTAATCTAATTTTGGATAGTACATATGTGATCAGAGTATTATGGCATATGAAATCAGACTGGCTTTGGTTAGTAATGATGCTGTGTAATTGTATATTAAGCTTTAATCAGATATACATAGTTTCTTGCTGACGAATGCATTATGTAGGTTTGATTCTAAGTCTAAGAAAAATATCAAACCACATTGCTTTCAATAGTACGTATAGCAATACTATTACTTGATTAACAAAAAAACGTAAACCAATAAATACATTGGTTTACGTTTATTCCTATTTTTTAAAGATATAAGTAAATATACAATAGTATACTATATGATGCATAAACAAAACTTCACAACAAAAAATTAGTATAAGAACGGTAGAAAACTGGCGAATGTTATAGTGAAAAAATTTATTGGTTTTGTTTTGTTGTCAAGAATTCCTTTGTACCCTTTAACAATACAGTTGCCAATACTTGATTTGATAACCTTTTTTTATTGATATTCGTAATTTAAATTTTATTCCACAACGTCCAGCATACAGGTAATCCCACAGAACAAATTAAAGTGGTACCTAATTTAGTTTTTTTGAACTGGTTGAACGTTATTACGATTAACTAGTACTTGCACAAATCTAAATTCAATCAATATCACCTGGAAAATATCTTGTGGAAAATCATAAAACGTCATCTGTACAAATAAACAAGAAGAAAATTGTTTCCAGATTGACAATGTTCTCCGAAAAAAAGTCAAACAAAACTCTAATTTACTGGACGAAAATAATTCTAGGTAGGTGAAAATGGAGTCCGTCATAATACGGCGTGGGCGGCCATCTTGATAAGCAAATAAAAGAAATACTTTGAGCTTCTTTTGTTTTGAGAACCTCAAATATAGTCTGACAGAAACACAATCTTGATTAATAGTAGAGAAATTATTTCCATTTGTGAATTATTTCCGGCGGCCATTATTCATTTATATAATAAATTGTTGTCAAGTTAAATATAATAATGTTCCTTTTGCGATTTTCTGACAGTTATGTAATGAATTTTATTGTATTCACTTACCTACACATAACATGTAAAGCGTTATGACTATTATTATAATAATATGAGTATGAATAATATTATTACAAGTAAATGCAATTTTGTAATGACCAAAAAGTTTTCTGGTAAGATGTGATCTCTCTATTTTTTTTTATTTTCGGTGGCGAAACAGGAAAAGATAAAAAACTTTTCATATTTATTAAATAACAACTTTTCTTTTATGCCTGTTTTGTGGTTGAAGAATTGTTTTCTGATTCATCAAAGTTCTGAAAGCAATTACATTTTGAAAATATCGCTTCGAATTTTATCCAGATTAAACCTCTAATCTATTTAAAACGACTCAAAAACTAACTTGGACTTGACGGAGCAAAAATAAAGTATTAGTTACACTGGACTATTTGGTGTATTAAACACCAGATAAAATAACAGTCCCCAATGGGCCAATTTTCTTTTTTCTTAAACAAAAAAGGTAAAATATCCCTCTGCGGTCAAAGTGTAACCAAATAGAAAAAGGGACCTTATAAATCTACTCTAACACAATGACATTCTTTCGTAAGTACTTCGTAAAGTGCTACATAAAACCTTTACTACTGGATAATAAATAGCCGGCTAATATAATGGTCACTGCTTAATAAAATGTAGTGGACAGAAGCAAATCCATTATAATAATTAATAGTGTATATTGTTACGTGGGAAGATCAAGTTTTGGACAGCCCTGATTTAGCAAACAGGCTTTTCTGATCAAAAGAAACGTATATGATTCAGTATCGAGTACCTCCTCGTCCTCCACCTACGCTACTCTACCTACCCTACTCTACCTACCCTACTCTACCTACCCTACTCTACCTACACTACTCTATCTACCCTACTCTACCTACCGTACTCTACCTACCCTACACCTACCTACCCTACTCTACCTACCCTACTCTACCTAACCTACACTACCTACTCTAAACTTGGGTCTACGTACTATGAGATTATCAGATCCTGTCCTATTGCCGTATGTAGTCATAACCAAAATAAATTACACACATGTCATGAATCTTTAGTTATTTTTACTGTAATTATTATTCTTGTTTTTTAATTATTATGGTCAACTATTATAAAAAATAATCAATTTTTTTTTATCAATCACTATGATAATTAAATTAATATATATATAGTTCGTCTAACACTGCAGATCTTAAAACATAAATCATCAACGAATGCTATGTTGTAACGCACAATACATATATTATCCTATGTCAAGTGGGCAATATCGCATGTTAAATAGAAAAAAGGACTAACTCAAAAATGAGGATATTCCAAAATTGAACCTTATTATTGAAGCATAATTTTTAAGATTGAAATACTTTATTTTTTGAGTTAGGTCTCTTTTCTGTTTAACATGCGTATGATAATTTTATGTAAACATTTATTTGTTTGTTTGCGACTGTAAATCAGTCGACCCTGTAATGTTTGGTACAGTGAAAACAGATTATCACGTCCCTTTACGGTTTTTGGGCGAAAAACAAATAATTTTCGTTATTAATGGGATAAACATGACTATTATGAAAACATAAAGTATAACAGTAAACCAGCTTTTTTGAACTGTAGGTACTGCTATATATTCTTGACTATATCTATGTTAGTCTCCTTTCAGTTAAGTCAAAAAAATCTTACTTCTATGTAATAGGTAGCAAACCAGCAGAATAATCATCTGTGGCAAGCAATCGGCACCGAACATGGACCCAATACTTGAAGACTTGCATGTTCGTTGCCGGCCCGTTTGGACCTCTGGTCTGCCTCTGCATCTATCTTTCTTTTCCTGTCATCTATAGTATAAAAGAGAAGCGAAATAATAAATAATAGGGAAGAAAACAGAAGGGATTGTGAGAAGAGGCCAATGTTCAGCAGTGGACATTTATAGGCTGATGATATTGATAATGATAGTAAAATAATAATTAAAAGATATCAACGGTTCATGATTAAAAATACTAGTCAACTAATTTACTTGCTAGTAGAAATAAGTACAGATAATCACAAACATCCAAAATAAGGCTACCATCAAAAAGGGTCAGTTGCAATTTCACTCACTGTGCACACCAATTAGTTTATACTAAATTACCGTCCCCTGGCCCGATGGTGCAATTAATTTCCTTAAGTGCCGCCAGTAATTGTCCCTGGTCCACTTTCGTTCTGGTTTTTCTATTTTTTTTCCAAGATCGCAACCAAAAGCACCAATGGGCGAGATTTTTCAAACTCTGTGTGTTTGTGTTAATTACTAAAATATTTTACAAAGGTCGGGGATTTTTTAATTGCCCTTGTTTATGAGTTTAGCTAAGCTACATATATTTGTTTGTTGATGGCGTTGTTGTTAATGTTGTTTTGTGGAAATTTTATGTCATAGTACCAAAAATGTATCGATCGTAACTAATATTTGTTAATTTTTTTCCTCTTGCCTTTGCTTAAATAGTTTTTCTCTATTTTATCACTGTAGTCTGTTTAGTAGCTACTTATCCATTACATAATAAAACATTATTTGATATCAAGTTACTAAACTACTTTTAATTATTTGTGTGACCTACAATGTTCTTTTGATAGTTGAGTCTGTTGTTTACTGATACTTACGCGCCGGCACTCAAACCACAAGACCCATACAGAATAAACTTGAACTTGCATGGTCCGCCTACATAGTTTTCACATTTATCTAAACTTTAAAAGAGACTGTCCCCTAAGTTGGTTTCGTCATTTCTTCTCAGAGTAGTCAGGGGATAGGAAATGCTGGATCATCGACATTTATATATAATGATGACGTATAAACGAGCTGTTTTAAGGCCTATTCATAATAATAAATTTATTTTATCATTGTTTCAAATTACCTTTTAGCAAATTCATTGTTTTACATTTCCCAAACTGATCTATCTAACGGATGGAACAAAATGTAATCCGTTGGTACATCTCTCGATGATCGAGTTAAGCCGGCAGTAATCCGGCTGTCACCTGCACTGGCGTTTGATGAGAGCAGACGTGTGTTCTGCCAATACGTACTAGATACAGGAATTGAACGTTTAATCAATGTTAGAAGCAAAATTCGTATACAATTATTCCTAAAAATGTAATTTGACATTGTATAATGTAATTATTTTTCACACTTGTGCTCAGACGTAAAAAAATATCTTTTTTTTATATGTCAGTACGGCAAATGAGCACACGGATTACCTGATGGTAAGCAATCAGCGTCGCTCACGAAATTAGGAGAAAAGATATGGTTTTGAAGATTTAGGGAATGGGGAAGGATTGGCCATCCTGTATCTTCATTCATACGGTGAAACATAACGCTATATATGGTTGTTTCACGCCGGTTCTTTGTATGTCTGTGCTATTACTCTAGTCGAGC